ACAACGAACTTCAAGCTTGTGCTTTAATTCAAAGTTTGTGCAACCAATAGAATACGACATATCCTCGGTAGCTTAGCTCCATAGAAAAAAGAGTAAAATCAATGTTTGGATAAGTACGGTCGTGCTGCCGCTTTACTTGTTTTTGGTTCAACTGCTTTTTACCAGCGTTGCATTCCTGCTGCCACCGGCATTAATCTCACGATTGCGCGCGCCTTTACACAACCTTTAGCCCATTACTTTTTGATTTTTGTCTGAAATTATTTTTTCTAATACAGTTTTCAAAATAAATAAACATTGCCTCTCCGTGACAAATTAACTTAAAAATGTTGGTTTTCTCACGTTAGCCGTTGGTCACGCGAAGTAATAATTCGAATGACGATGAAATACATGTAACGCGAGACAAACAATTATTTAGGACAGGAGATAATACATTTATTACTATCAAAATAGATAAAATATCAAACCTGATGGCTCGGCGCTGTCGTTTATAATCCAAGCTGCATCTTAACCTCAAAAAGCACCTCAAGCACAGTCACGATCATGAAGGTCACGGTTATGTTAACTTGCATAACACTATACAACCTTTACACCACTTATAACATGGGATAAGACAAATAAAACCATACCGTGGATTACTGTTAACTGTTATCATAAACACACAAATGCACAGTTCGTTGCACGTTTATTCAACAAACGACACGAGTATCGATTAAGGACTATGTTAAATATCATATTTTCGTGTCCCTTCATTTAATTATGCACCAATTACAATTCGTTGTCATTACTTTAATACAGTTTACGATAAAACATGTAACAGCCGTGCACTGCACTCCGTCAGACGCGACGAATATGGCCGATGAATTTGAACTACGCTTGCGCGGTGCGCCGCTATTCGCGGCAATCCGTTTACCTGCTAAGGAAAAAATTTAGTTTGATAACAGCTCCCCCTATACAAAAAACTCAGAACTAATAACTCAGTCGTAACGCGACGAGCGATTCGACTGAGTTGTGACGGCTCACATAACATTAAGTACGAGTTTCGCAAGTGTAATAACAGATGGGGCTTCTTTACCAATAATAACTTGGTGTGTACTTAATGTATGGAAAATAAAATAATAGTATTTAAAGCCGGAAATACTTTTCCGTATTTTTTATTCTGTTGTCTGTAAATGATTTGAATCATGCATTTTTTAACAATCTTCGGATAATCTATTTTTATAGTTTTAACGCCCCTAATAATTTATATCGATATACTAGCTGACCTGGCAAACGTCGGTTTGCCATGTATATCATTTATAATTTAAAAAAAGGGGTTGATCGTAGAGGGGTTAAAATTAGGGGTTGTATGTATTTTTTAATGCTGTATCAAAAAAAAATTAAATAAATAATTTAGGTGTGGGCTACCCTTAACATTTAGGGGGATGAAAAATAGATGTTGTCCGATTCTCAGACATACCCAATATGCACACAAAATTTCATGAGAATCGGTCAAGCCGTTTTGGAGGAGTTTAACTACAAACACCGCGACACGAGAATTTTATATATTAGATTAACGTGAATTAAGTGATTGTTAAATGCCGTTTTTATACTTTTATTTCCATATATTATCTTTAAAGTAACAAAAACATTTTTATTCATGGACATATTAGTTAGTAATAGTATCTCAGCCTAGGAGCAGAGGAGCAGGAGAAGAAAACCCTCATGTCTTAGATTGTATAATTAAAGGTGTGTGCCAGGCATTGAAGGCCGAGAGGCCAACTCTGTTGTGTTATGTTCTTTTTCATATTCACTATCTATGTGTAGCGACTCATGTAGAATTGATTAACTACAGACATTTCTACATTTATTATAGTATTATTAGAAAAACAAAACAATTTTTGCACTGTATTTATTAAGCGACATAGTGATTCTTTAAAATAGTTTAACAATCATAACTTAAATTATATATTTTGTAAAATCTCTTTATTAGGCTACATAACATCAAGATACAAAAAAGGAACAAAAATGTATGGTAACTTATATGTTAAACTTATTTTTTAATCAGGCAAGATTACTGCATCTATTAAAATCCGCTGTCAAGAATTTTTATCACTCACACAAACACTTAATATATCTCTAAGGTCTCTTCCAAAATATTATATCAAGATTACAAATTTATACAAAAGATATCTATAATTCATACAAATAAACAAAGTATTACCCTAGCACGAACTTAATTGTCAAATACTTGTCATATGTCATAAGATAATTTTGTGTCAGTAAGTGACTGACAGCTCGAGAGCTTGGCCGGCGGCTAAAATTAGTACTACCGTCGCCATTTAGAAATGTCAAACTGACATTGCTTATTTTCTGTAATTTCTTGGTGCGTACAATAAATAATTTTACTATCTATCAACTAAAATGTATTTATTTTTATTCCTTGCATTATTAATTACAATGGCGAAGTTTTAATTATAGAACGATTCTGATTGGTGTCTTAAAATATATAATATGAATAGTACAGGTAACAAAACCTATCATATCAGTTGTTCCTATGTTTGTGTCACATTTATTTATATACATATACATTGTTTTATTAAGACATTTCAATAAATTATTAAGTTAGCCTGCATGGCTTCAAATTATTCCCCTTATATTGGTTAATTTTTATTTACTGGCAATACTAATCCATGACAGCGTCGCGTCGCTTTTACCGGCCAAGAAAAGTATGTGGCACTGTAGAATTGTAGATAACTATGCGAACAATAATATTGTCTTTGATTTACGAGCGCTACACGTGAAGTTAAACAAATACTTTTGGAGTTCTTTACAGTATTCGTCGTCAAAACCGAAGTCATACTTAACGATAACTCATAATTCTGAATATAACTCTTAGTGCGAACCATGTCTCCTATCTATCAAAGACATTTTTAAGCAACCTTTTAGTCAATTTGAATTATTTATTCGTGCTTCATCTCTGGAACATTTAGAAATAGAATTTCTAAATGTTCCAGATGTTCATGGAGCATTCAAGACATACTTTATTGTTGCTAGGTATTCGTATCGTATTCGTGCTAAGTGCATTACCCTAAAGCTGGAATTACATTACGAAATTAGTGGCATGAATGGGAAATCTGTTTCACGAAAGTAGTTTATATCGTCGATATATTTGTGAAAGTAATTTCGTAAAATCCTCAGTATCGCAGTAACCATGGCCCCATCAGCATCAAAGCTTTATTTTTCTATATTCAATGTGGCTAAAGAGATGCTTCTCTATAAACTTAAAATGCTGCGTTTTTTAGCAACTGGAAATAGTTTGAAGTCTTTATCATAAAAATTCAGGGTGGCATCATGTAATCGCATCAAAATACACATCCTCACAGGCACTTTCGCGACACTAGTTTCACGTCGCATCTCCATCATGAAATAACTAATTTCACCAAGAAATCGCGCAGGGCACGAAACTCATTTGCATTCAGGAAATTAATGCATGCATTATTAAAATATTGAAATACACGTGAAACTGTTGGTCTAATGTCACGAAATTAATTTCCTGCCACTAATTTCGTAAAGTAATTCCGGCTTAAGTCAAACTATAAATATGTCACTCCTATATTCGCTTTAAAATACGATGTTACAAAATATTTTCCTACAAAATATTATGTAAATTGATAAGATTTTAATTAATAATGCCCATTACATTTAAATCATTATTTTCACATAATTAAATTCGTTGCTTATTCTTAACTGGCCGTAATTGTCCCTATTGACTACATGAAATAATACTTTAAGGAGAGCTTAATTCTTGTACAAAATTAAATTGAATGGTTTTTAATATTTTGTTTTTACAAATTTTACCAAGCCGAAATTAGATGTAATTCTTGTATAAATGATAAAACCGACTGAAATGGCGCCTAATCTATAATCTTAAAACTTATAAAGTCGACGCATTTTAAACTGAGTCGTCGGGCAATAAATGTCACTGACAGTAGGAATGTGCAAGCAATGGAACCCGTTATCGACAGTGTTGTCACATGGTCTCGGCAATGTATCCTTAGACTAATTTGATTTCCCCCCAGAAATGGATGCCTAGGATCTCCTAGGATGCCTTAAAATAAAAATAAAAATCTTGTGTAGTGATATTAGTGAATTTTCATGTAATTCAGAACTTGTATTTAATTAAAATCACATCGTTCTTTGACAGCTCAAACGAATATACAATTAGTAAGGTTAACCATGCGGATCCTATTCTTACGATGTGTTCGTACTTCAATTTAGTTCCAAAATCAGTAATGTGATATACAATAGCAAAAGAAAACTGTATTTGGTGTAAAATTTCCCCTAAAAAAACCCCCCAAATATTCTTTCACCCTATTCTGCCCCTAACTCGGTTGAAAACCTCCTAAAACTAGGGGGAAATCCTCTGATCTGGCAACACTGGTTATCGATACTTAGCTACCTGCGCACGCACTTCTGACTCCTGATTGATCGTTACGAGTAAGGGTTGTTTTCTATAAACATAAGATTTTTTATGACACTCAATACATTACACTTCGTTACGCAATACGCACAATGGTGAATTTATTTTCTAACGTGGTTTTGAAGAAATTAAATGGTGACATTTATCTTACAAATTAAAAACTTTTATATTCAGAAAAATTATTCCTTTTAATATTTAACATATCGTTCGTATCTATCCCGTTATCGATATGCACCTCCACATATCTTACGCACATCACTACATCTCTCCATAAGACCTAGCGGGCGAGACAATCAGATAAAAATGATTTATGACCCGAAGCCTCACTTAAAAATCCGTCGACTATAACAGGCACACATAGACAAACCAACAGGTATGAAAACACAGTATGGAAATAAAAATCACTTTTGACAGGGTAAGCCAATGATTTTTTTTTCAAGAATTAAGCTCTACAATTTCCAAATTAAATTAAACTGGTCCGCAAAGTAAGGTTAGAAAAACTGGCAGGAGAGACGAAGTCAATTTCAGAAAGATATTGTATTTATTTTCTCCTCGTACGGTAGCGCAGAGCAATCAGAGCCAAGAGGTGGAAACCTAGATAGAGAATGACCAGGGCAACTATGTCGGGCCAGAATTCGTTCGTGGTAAAGTCATACATGCTCAGGACTTCGTCGCCAGTACTGAGGCATGGTGCACCGGTCTCGTCTGTAAGACATGCTGTAACAAAATTTGAATATTAACGTTATGATTTTAATATGTAATATACAAAAATAGATAACTATTAAAAGGAGAGATATATTTTTAAAAGGAGTCCCTTCAGCCAAGTCCGATCCAGATCCGAAGAGCTGGCAGCTACCTCGGACAAAGAATAATTAGTCTAGCTATTCAGAGAGGGAACGCTGCCAGTATCTTCGGAACTTTGCTAAAGGGACTCCTTTTGATTTTAGTCTAAATATTATACATTTTAGTAGTCAGAGGTAGCGCTTAGTGTTATTTTTATTTCCAAATCTTAAGGGACGTTACTAGAGTCACACATAAACGATAAAAGTAGTTTTTGTTGGAACATTTTATTACATAATTAAGGAAGAAGAGAGCGTTTTTCGCACCATCACCATGTGGAGTCAGATTCCCAGTGAACTACATATTTCCGAACCAATTCGACTTAGTAACTACAATTCTTAAATGGCCGGCAATGTACTTTCGAGACTACTGGCAATGTGAGTGAATGTGTCAAGTCAAGTCAAAATCATTTATTCATATAGGTAATGGCGCGTCTAAACGGGCCATGTTTTGCTGCAATTGATGGCTGCACTGTTGGCCACTAATTGCCCGGCCATTACAAAAATATTTTAATGCAGCTGATGGCCGAACAATCTATGGCTGGGCAATGTGTTGCAATATGTCTGCAATAGTATGGCCCTTGATGCAGACTCCTAAACGGGCTACACAAACCGGCAACAATGGCTGACGAAATCACACTTGTCGCAGCAGCTTATATTGTTTAAAAAAAGAAACAGAAAAAGAAGAGATTGTGGATTCGACCTTACTTAAATAGGCGTGAAACTGTAGACAATTTGAGTCTAGAAATATGCCTTGATAATAAATTATTCAAGAACTAGAATGTCAAAAGCAGTCATTTTTACGTATTCTAATCTAACGTCAAATACAGCTGATCGCAAAACACAGAATATAGCAACAGGCACACTTCACTCATAGCAAACGTCATGTCGCGTAGAAAAGGATACACTGTGCCATAACAAAAAGAGTGACTGAAACAACAATAGAACTGGCTGTGCAATATTGCAGTTGAATTCGATAGCCTAGCGATCGTCCGGCCATCGGGACAACATCGGCCATATGTGGCTATACAAAACATGTTTGGCTATATGGCCGGGACATTACTGCAATATTGCATAGTGTGGCTGCTATTGTTTGCAATGATGCCGGCCACAGTGTTGCAGCCATCAATTGCAGCAAAACATGGCCCGTTTAGAAGCGCCATAAACACAATGCACACTTAAGAACGTCAACAAAGAAACATAATATATTAAATGCTTCTAATTGTACATTTACTGCTAGTTCTCAAATTAAGGGCGTAGAACGGAAGAGTAGAACTGGCAATAAACTCTCCGCCACTCTTTTTAATCGCCAAGTTTTTTGTTTTACAGAATGTTTGTAAGGAGCTGCAACCATTACATGACATCTTAAGTAATCAATAGTTAATTAATCATAGTTAAATAAATTTAATACAATGATTGAGAAGGAGGCATTGTGTAATAGGAGTACGCACTCACTTGGCTAAGTGATACAGGCTGTATCACTTATCATGAGGTGAGCGTCCCTGTCCGTTTGCCCCCTATTATATAAAATTCAATGCTCACACACGCATACAGAAAGCCTCACATAAATGTTGCTAACATACAGATTGACAAATGTGAAAAATGCCTTTGGAAAAAAATAATTATTCACAAAAAACGGTAATAAGTACGTCTTTGTAAACAAGACAATTTGCGGTAAAAGACAAGGCCATAATCACTTTAGCACCTGCCCACCCATTTAACCTGTTTTAGGGACTTCCCTGACAACATTTTTACCTGCTTGCGTAGAACCCTTGTTAGTAAATCAGAATATGATTGTAATTAAAAAGTTAAAACATTCGTACAAACTTTTATTTGTATTAATACAGAATAATAGTTATTAAAAGTGCACTAAATAAAAAATAGGAAACACGAAAAAAACCAATACAATTTTAAAAGTAAATTTAATCATTTTTTATGTGGCTACCGCTGCTTATTGTAGCGACACTGTAAAAACCCCATGATAGGTAATAAAAAAATCAGTAGCACTACAACTTTTTTAGGTCTGGGCCTCAGATTTCTGTATATGTCTCATGATCATTTGTCAGTCATAGGGAAGTAGGTGATTAGCCTCCTGTGCCTGACACACGCTGTCGACTTTTGGGTCTAAGGCAAGCCTTTACCTTACCTTACGATTTCCTTCACCATTCGAGCGAATGTTAAATGCGGATATAGAAAGAAAGTTCATTCGTGCATAACTAGGGATCGAACCTACGATCCCTAGCTAGCCTAGCCTAGCCTACTAAAATAACTGAGTTCTCTCACGTTATGGAGAGTTGTCTCTGTATGGAAAGAATCGTTTTTCACTTTAGTAGCTAGGACGTATACTTCGACGTTTTAAAGAGATGTTAGATGGTTGTACTTACTTATGTTTTGTACTCCGTCCCACTGAAGAATCGTCATTGCTTCATTAGAATACATGAGCCAAGACAGGTGTCGAATCCACGATATATATTTTGGTATTGAGCTGTAGAAAAGTGTTTATTTGTATTTTTCATGTAATTCATAAGTCGTAAAATCTTGAATCATATAATTTTAGACTACAAAACGGGTGGGTAGGGAGGTGCCTTTGAAAAATCTAGACATACATATATAAAGAGTAACAACTAGACTATTTAAATTGCATAAAACTACGGAATTTTCTTAGCCCATTTTCCGTAAAAGCTATTGGCAAAACCGTAACACCGATAATGAAATCATTGACTCAAATGCTTTTAGAATAAATTATTAAAACATAATTTTAATTTAAGTGTTATTAAGATATGATACCAAAACTACATATAAGATTAAGCGGGAGTGGTGGAGTAAAGTATGTACAATTACACAATGTGCCAAAATAGAAATACAGTCAAAATCTGTTATAACGACTTCGAAGAGACTTCTCATATTTGGTCGTAAAAACCGATATAGTTGTAACAGTCGATGATGTTATTAAGTAGGTACATACCTAATACCTACACAGAATTCAGCCGGGACCTTTAATTTTGGTATATGATATAATATAACCGGTATGTTGTTCTAAAGATGTCAACGTAAACGGTAAACGGTTTTCACTGCATGTACTATGTATACTTAAAAACAACTAAGACACATAATCTGCTATAAACTATATTTTGCCGCCAAAACGTCATAAATAAAATCTTGGCATATATAGAATATGTTACCTGAGTTTTATAAATAGTCCCGATGTCATCATGAGAGAGTAGTCAAATGGGACAAGGTAGGCGATTGCGACCGGCATTGAACCGAAAGCGCAAGAGAAGAATGATCCTGAAAAAGAAAATAATTTTATTTAGCTTAATAGGCAATACAAACTAAACATCATTAATAATATAAAATCTATTTACGGTCTTAGCTCAGAGTTGCCGTTTCTTTGATCATTTTTATTTCATATAGTCCATTGAAAAGTTACATTTGGGGTTGCGTTTTTTAGAGGACGCAATTTTATTTATGGAACATGTAGGGGGGGGTCAATACAAGCTTAACTCCAAGTTTGTGGGGTTGGCGTGCTTGTACCCCGGCCGCCATCTTGGATAAAGGGGTCCAAAAACCACGCTTTTGGCTATATCTCCTAAACTATCAATCGTACATAAAACTTGTAAAGACACATTTTGTAGCAAATCGCTGTGTCTACAATTATGTCTCTTTATGTCGTCTCTTTAATTATGTCGAAGATTACCATATCAGCAAGTTGTCTGTGGAATAGGCCTACTAGGAATACCAATAAGTAAAATTGTAGGAATAAAAAAAAATAAAAAAAATGATTTAGAAAATTTGTTTAAAATAAACGAGAGCATTAACATTTCAATGGACTAATAGACAAAAAGGTAACCCTTCTGTCTGACACATGTTACGACCGGTTTCCTTCACCGTATGAGCGACTGTTAGCTGCGCACATAGAAAGTCCATGGTGTACGGACGGGGAACAAACCTAAGACTTCAAGGATGAGAGTCACAATCTGAAGCCACTAGGCCAACACTGCTTACTCATATCAGTAAACTATGTATATGTAGATTGTAGGTACATATAAATAATGTGTAACTTAGTGAAATTTTTAATGTATACATACCAAACTTAATTAACCTTTACACTAAGATAGGACAGGCATGAGAAGTAAGTCATATTCCAATGATAAAATACATAACTCCAATTAGAAAGATTTACGCGTAAATAAACTCAAAATTCCTTGATTTTATCTCTAATAATTATCGCAATACAGCGAGGAATTGCTGCCAGCGTTAAAGGTACACTGCCACAGGGACCAAACTTTTAAAATTTGGATTAATTTTCTTTTTAACAATTTTTATTATTACTTAGTTTAAGGAAATTGTAAATTATACGTATTAAGTATTAATAAAATAAATATTATAATATTCGAGTATTAATCTTTCATAACGACGGTTAAAAAGTTTACTTACCACATGCTATAGCTACATTCAGAACCAATATAGACAAGAAGACGGTGAAACCAAACGCATAGAAGGTGCTCCGTAGACCTGCGATCCAGTAGACGACCAGTGTGAACAGTGACGGCTCAATCACCAGACCTGGGAACTAAAAAAGGGTGTGAATCATTTAAAAAATCCTTATACAGTACAATTAAACTTATGGGTGTTGCATTCCTGTGTCAGTTTATCAAAATCAAAATCATTTATTCATATAAGTAACACAATGTACACTTAAGAACGTCAAAAAGGAAATATATATTAAATGCTTCTAATTTCACATTTACTGCCAGTTCTCAAATCAAGGCCGTAGATCGATAGAGAAGAACTGGCAAAAGAATTAAAATTAATTGTCATAATAAAAAATATTATTTGTTTGGCTATTCTACATATAATTCAGATTGAGGCCTCCCTAGTAAGTCAAAACCTGTGACAGGTCGTATGCATTGATCTCTTCTATATCTTCTATATCTGTTATCTGTAATCAGTAGTTCTGGCAGATCACTCTGTAGTGCCAGTTGTGGCTGATACATATTCTATTATGTAATAAAACCCGTAAATATATATAACATACACTTGAATTGCTATCGTATTCATTTATCCGAACCCCGAACATTACATCAATATTATTAAATTGTTTTCTCTAAGAATCTCGAATCAAACCAGGGTTATATATGGGTTGATAAATGATACAGGAAGCGATATTAAAATTATAATATTTTTGTTAAGTTTTAAAGGTACTACTACTATTGCTGTGATAATGTAAAGCGTTATAAGTGCGTTTTTTTAACCATTTTTTATTTATTACAAAAATCTATATACATAATATAGTACTTACCAAAGCTATCATCCTAGCTACATAATAAATGGGCGTGGAATATAACCCTGCCCTAAGTTCCCTATACAACAAGGGGAACTCTTCAGGGAATATATGGAGCATAGAGTACATAGGGCTGAAGGTATTCTCTGCTATGATGATGAAGAGAGCTCCTTGGACATCTTGGATTCCTGCTTGGGTGAGCCGCGCTGTGCCGATGAAGCACAGCCCTGCGGTTAGTGCGATTGCCTGAAAGCAGAATTGATGCACAGTTGAGGTTCGACCCTACGACCTCAGGGATTACATGCTCAAGCCACTAGGCCAACACTGCTACAATAATTGTTAACGTAATAAAAAATAAAATTAGTATAAATTCAAAAGAATTGTATGGAAATTTAACATAAAAACTTTTCAAATAGCATTCGTAGTGGGTATGTATAAACATTCTACTGCGCTATTATTTTCATTAAACTAATCTTGACCGAATATCTCAAAACCTACGTGAGTAACTGAAGCCCACAAACGAACAAACTTAACACGCTAATAAAATTTCAAAATTTATTTAAAATTGTCTCTTAATCATATTATATTTTTAGTTATAAACGTCTAAAATATGTATGGATGTGCCAATAAATATTTCTCATAAGAAAATAAATAAATTAGAATATATATATCATGATTTTTACGTCAAAACAGAGCTTTGTGAATTGTGAATTATTCCGTTCTCACACGACCGGTTTAGTCTAAGGAAACTACAAGGGATGTGGTTTAAATAACTAGTATAGAGGAAATAATTTTGCCTTTTGCCAGGAAATCAAGAGATAAGCAATGCATTGGCAATAGGACAGCTGTTGTCGCGCAGGAGCAAGGAACTTAGGCGAAAGCAATCTTCGCAAAAATATATTTAAGTTTTGGAAGTATGTAAAGATTATCAATAAATACATGTCCCATAATATGAAAATAGTATATTATTGGCTTATTAAATAATAACTACGTAAGACAAAACAAAATGTACCTTTCAATCATTAATTATTATATATATTATTTTCGGTGTATTTGTTATAAGTTTTTAAAATACCTTATCTCGTAAAGGAACATAATCAGCACGCGCGCTGTATCGGATGGCGACCGTATCAATTTCTTTCGGTTGAGATTTGACACTTATAAGGGGAATTAAGTGTTTTAATTTATATATACACTAGCTGGCCCCGCGAACTTCGTTTCTCCTAGCCTAGCCTACCTATTAAGTACATACCCACATGGAACATCCCCAGATACTGTTCGGTTTTCCGCAAAGAAAACTTTTTAGGTTTTTCTGTGATGATGTATGTCTATCGTTATAAGTTTTTAACTAACTAATAAAATATAGGGGTTGATCGTAGAGGGAAGATGAAACTTAAGGGTTTAAAGGGGTATAAAAATGGTCTAAAAAAAGAAAAAAATAATTTTGGGTTGGATATCCCTTACCACTTAGGGATAAGGGATATCCACCCCAAAGAAAGATAGATAGTAGCCGATTCTCATTACTGAATATGCATAAAAAATATGAATATGAGTTTAAGAATCAGTCGAGCCGTTGCGGAGGAGTATGGGGAGAATATTGTGACACGAGAATTTTATATATTAGAGATAAAATTTGTAATAATTTAGTTTTATTAAACACGTAAAAGTTTAAATATGTTAAAATTAATAGTTTCTTAGTACAACTGTACTAATGTAAACGTGTCATAGCCCACAATTGCCTCTGTTAAGGTCTTCAAAGCTTTATTTATTGACACTTCGTGGCCATAATACAGAATTCGGACAAGAAACGAAAAATAAATAAATTATTTGGCTGCCTTTAGTTACTCAGTTGTTATTAGTTCACAAACTGGTCATATTACAAATTGGACCTTGTTATGATAATTATAATAAAAGAATAACAGAACAGCCATTTTAAATTATTAAGTTTATATTCTTAACTTACTAAAACCTGCTTCGTTAATTTCGTCATCTTCATTGGACATATTCGCCCATAGACAGCGACATTTCCTATCATATAAACCAACCTTGTTGCACAACGTTGTGTGTACGCTGTACACCCATATATTATAGACAGCTAACAATTAAAATGATTTAAAACTTGAATAGTTCACTAAGTTTGACTTGCGGATATTTACTTACGAAATTTAGCACACTTGCTAGGAAGTTTAAATCATTATACTCAATTATTCCATTCCAACAATATCACATCAAAATAATTATTTTTATTGAAGTTATACTTACCAATTTCTGCGCTATCCTTAACAATTGTACATTTGGATCACGTAAAACCATTAAAATATATCTATACACCAACCAAATGATTTTCGTATGGAAAAAAGGTGGTTTAAAATTGCTAGATTTGGTCCGCTTCGTTTCCTGGAACAAAAAATACGCTAATTGATTACGAATACCAAATTTGGAGCGCTTTGTATTGTAAATTTAATATAAAACAAGTTTAACCCTGCGCGATTCTGGAGTCCAAGTGACCTGGAGTGAACTGTTTGAACTGATTATATGATTTCGTTCGATTATGGTCTTAAAAAAAAAATGTTTAACAGGAACATAAGATACAGGTATCACTTATTCCACGTCATTAAATTTGAATCGGTAGACATCCCTGCTCATCGGCAAAGAAGACAGAGGGTGTAGGCCGAGAGAAAAAGCCTAATACTAAAGCATCATACAAAATGACTTTGGCAAAAAACACTTATTTAAAAAAAAAGTTAATATGTATAACTTCTGATAAATTTGAGAATCACAAATATTCTTACATAATTGATTATTTTTGTTTATGGGTGAATTTAAAATACGAAGATAAAAATTGAAATACTCGTAAAATTAATGTTCTTTCCACTGTTTACAATCTGCGTTGATGAATGAGATAAATTAAACATAAAAAATATAATGATTGTAATAACAACAATTAATTCTTAATTTATTATCTATATTTTTTATAATGGGGTTGATATATAAGCTAAAATTAAATATTAAATAACGTCGACAAAGTGTATGCACAGTGTGAGATAAATTACGGGTCATTATGACCCAACTTGACATGCGATGGGTTAAGCGGTACCAAAACAGTACCAAATTGTGACCATCTAAGTTGACAGCATTATCTTGTCTTTATAGTTATTAACGATCCTTTAAATAAGCTGTTTTTGCTTGTTAGCGTGTCGTCCACGTTATGGAATTCCGCCGATCTTTTACCTTGATATTGAACCATTTTTTATCGACTGTTGAAAAAATAGAAGAATACACAAAGTTTGCCTTAACTTTTATTTTATTAGAAGGGTAATGTTTTAGGATTATGTATTGTTGTAATGTATGTATTTATTGGGAGAAAAATTGCAAAATTTACTTTTTTTTTAGTACTTAGATTTTATTCCGGAAAAGCTAATAGTGTCTATGGGGTAACATGTAATGTTCCATGGTAATGTTCCATATGTTGGAATGTACTAAAAACGTAGGCTAAGTAAAAAAATCATATTAAGGCGAAACGAAGTTCGCGAGGGCACTAGCTACTTAATACATTTAACCACATTTAAAGTGATATGCAATGTAACACTGGTATACATAATTATGCAAATATCCTTTCCAGCTTTATTTATAAGTACTGTAATTATTGTAATGAATACATACATTCGGTAGCGTTTAGGTGTAACAATTTTATCAACATTCTGTATGGGTTTAGGAATAAGGACTGTGCTCGTACGGCTTGTATTAGGTTCATATTACAAAAGACATCTCGTGTTACGATTTTAACCACTCAAAATGAACCAAATAACGATCTAAAACTAATTTCAAGCAAACGACATTTCTAAGCCGATTTTAACAAAAAAATAAAACATCGAATTGATAACCTCCTTCAGTTTTGGACGTCGTTTAAAAATAATTGTAGACGACATTTAACCATGTAAATTGTCAAAAGTCGAAACTGATAGATTGTGTTACAAGTTTAATAATAATCAGTGGCCTCACAACCTCGATAGGGGTAGGGTAGGCCTCGGATTTCTGAATCTGTTTCATGATAATTTTTCAATCTACTAGGCAAGTAGGTGGGTCAGGCACAGGAGACTGCTCCTGTGCCTGACCCACGCCGACTTTTTGGGTTTAAGACATGTCGGTTTCCCCACGATGTTTTCCTTCACCGGTCGAGCGAATGTTAAATGCGCACATAGAAAAAACGTCCATTGGTGCACAGCCGGGGATCGAACCTACGACCTCAGGGATGAGATTCGCACGGTGAAGCCACTAGGCCAACACTGCTCTAGTGTGTTAACGTGTTACAAGTTTAAGAATGAAAAAAAAACATACAAAACAAAATGGCGGTGCTATCTTATTTATGTAAGTATTTAGTTAATAACACAATCTTAAACATAAGTAATAGCTACTCGATGTTAATAGATATCAAGAATATCATAATATGTACGATTATTGCAATTTTATTGAAATATGAACATTATATAAATTTCCATTGATACAGCGAATATAATTGAAGTGTGTTGAATATTAATGGGGTTTTTATATATGTAATCTGTGATATAACAGATTCGAGATAGGTCAGTCGTTCATTCATAAACATTATGAATTTGAATTTGTGGACTTAATTTCTGAGTCGGCTGAACGGATACGCAAATACTTCTTTATCGTATTAATAAAATTAATTGTGGACGATGGAAAAGTGTGGCATTTCTCTAACCTAAGGGAATCCTTCCATTAGGTAGTAATAACGTCGACCTGTCTCACCGCTGACAAGCCCAAAGGCCCCAGTGGCTCTTATGCTCTATACTTTTATTATAAAGAGGTACAATTTTTGAAGTTACTTACTTCAACAGGTACTTTTCTGAACGATCAGAAAAGTGTACAGATTGATAAAGCGACACCAATTTTTGTATTTTATAAATAAAATATTTCATAAATATACATCTTAATTTTTTTCAATTTGTAATTATAATTATAGCTCATGACTGTCCGTAAGAAGCCCGGGCGATGTGACGTTAGTTATTTCGACTATGTGTTACGAGAATGTAAGTGCGTGCTCCTATTTCACCATGCCTCCTGCTGATAGATCGCAAATCTTTGTTTTTTTATTTATTTTATTATTATAGATTACTTAAGATGTCATGTGGAAAATGGTGTAATGGTGGCAGCTCCTTACAAACGTTGTGTAAAAAAAACAATGCGATTAAAAAGAGTGGCGGAGATTTTATTGCCAGTTCTTCTCTTTCGTTCTACGCCCTTTATTTGAGACCTGGCACTAAATGTAAAGTTAGAGGCATTTCATATGTTCATTTTTGACGTTCATAAGTGTACATTGTGTTACCTAGGTATATGATTAAATGATTTTTGACTTTTGATGTATTATATACTCAACAATCATCGTATAAATCCGCATATTATGAGATGTTGCCCATACTATGCGAATAATTTTTCTGCTTTCGTTTAGTTACAAATACGTCACGGATCATACAAATAGCAACCAGTATTCAATTGAGCCAATCAATTTATATTGGCCGCACGAGGTCTTACGGGATTTGTTAACAAATTTTGAGTTTAAGAAGATTCTCAAGACTATATAAGATTACACAAGAAACGTAATGAATTATCTGCGATTGTTAATTATAAGAAAGTGTATTAAGAGAACAATGCGTGTCTGGAATTCAAATTATGACTGAATGGAATTAAACGTTAAATCGTTTGTTAAATGATTAAGAACTTAATTGAGAACATTAGATGGTCATATAATTATATATAACGTAATAAAAAACTTTATAGTTAAATTATGTATGAATGAGTAGTTATTGTAATAATATGTTTAAAATCCACCGAATCGAACGTACTTATAAACGACTCTTATGAATTAAAACTTTTTTACTGACAAATTAAAAAATATTCTTTACCGGATTACAGCATTTTATTATCACAATTTACAATTATATACATTTTAACCGTGACCATACTGTTGGCACAATTGTTAAAGTTTTAAAAAGTACAATAGTATAACGCTTTTATATCCTATTTTATATATTTTTTAAAATAACAATTATTAGCATTACCTTAAGAAATCATAGGAGAGCAATTAGTCGAGATTTAGTGCCTTAGCTTATTAAAAAAAAAAATTTTTTTAAATAAAACGGGGCAATCGGCAGGAGGCTGATGTTAAGTGATGACATCCGCCGCTGGACATTCTCATTCTTAAAAAACGTCAACGTTAAAAAGTGTCAAAAAGCTAAGTCTAAGTCTTGACTATGTGTACACTTATTCGAGTGTTGATCGATTGTATGACCTAATATTTTCTTACCTCATCTTGATTATCTATTAGGTGGAACTCAAGATGTATCTCCATGTCCAGTTCCTTAGCAGCATCACTGACCGCGAACCGATCACAGACGCTCTTAATGGCATGTCGTGACGCACCTTCCGAGCCAGGTGTCAACGCCAACACTTTGATAAAGTAGTCTGTTGGATTATATGTGATGGGACAGTGGTATCCCAAGCTGTAAGAAAACATTTGCAGTTATATCTATTCGGTACATAACAAAAAAAAAAGAGACTTAAATTATTTGGAATGCAACGGTCTTATCGTAACAAGCGATCTCTTCCAGGCAGCCCTAGTAAGAAAAAAAAGTAAACACTAAATGAATTTGAATTGCAAGAAGTGCATAACCAAATCAACAAAAATTAAATTACAAGTAAGATTGAAAAATTATAATATTACCTAACTAAATCTAAAACATAAATTAAATTAAAAAATTGATTAATTTATGTATGTAGTTAGCGGAAGGCGCGTTTATATTTGTTAAATAAATTTTAATGTGTAGACCTAACTGCAGCAAAAGCGTAGGGACGGGTCTCGCGAGATGGGACCGCCACTCGCCTATGAGTAGTGAAAAATTGGCAGAACGTTGGCAGATTATCTACGTGGGGCCCAACCAATACATAAACAAATACACCAGAACGGTAGTCGTGGTTGTGGCCAAAAAGAGAAATATATTATTGACTAACAAAGAAGTTATATAAACATTTTACCCTTAGCAAAGCTAGACAAGACAGCTACCCTATTGTAAAATAAAGCCAGTAACCTATACGGCTTCAGGTCGAAGCCCGACTAAGTATTAATTTGGTTTAATTAGCGTTCCACAAAGACAAAATAGGTAATTCATACAGACGTGAGTTTGTTCTGTTTTATAAAGGAATTAAATATATACATTTATTTTAGTTGCAATTTACGATATGTTGATTTCTTGTTTTCAGGTCTATCGACGATCGTGTTAACCATGACGTTCGATATTCAAATGGCTTTGCAGTATGTATTAGTTATTTCGGACAATTGCATTCTTGGGTTTCATTTTTATTACTTTGCCTTTATTTTCGTTCCTTGCTTATTTCTAATTTCGGTTCTTGCATAATTGATATATGTGTACCAATTGTAACGTCATTTTTTCTTGCATTATTCGATCAACATTTTAGAACGCAAATAATTAAATGTATGTCCCTGTAACATTTATTACGTGACATTATTTTAAGAAATATTAAGAAAGTCATCCACGTAATAGTTGTTTTACTCAACAGAGATTGACACCACAAGAACAAAAATACGATTTCATAAAATTCATTGATTATTTATTTACTGCCTACTAATAAATACTTATAAATCGTTTGTTCCTCAGTTTGATTCTCATGTAAAATTAAGAGATAATATACACACACATTGAAACCATATTTGATAATAATTTAGGTTATATAACCAATATCGAGATGTAGTACTTCGAGTAATAGCAAACAATGAGTAATTTATTAAGTACTTATATGTTTTGTCAGGTCTTGTACTAGATTATTATTGTGCCTAACGATCGAGCTATTGGCCTTAATAAGACTTCCTGACCTGGATAGAACATTGGAGACTTTCAAGGGCCCACATAGTGGAAGAAAATCTAGGTAACATAATTGGCCTAGTTCTCTTAAGTAAGAAGAAAGAAAATGTTAGATTGTTAGATACGTATGCAAACGAAGATGGTAGTAAAAGATAACTTTTACAATTATTTAAATATTTTACATGCTTAAACATTTTGTAAGCGTGTGCTTTTGGTGTTAAAAGCAATAAAACTTTTTATTTATTTTATTTTATTTTTGATTTAATCTTAAATCTTTTTATATTAGCATAAGAGATACTATCACCGGATGATGCGACCTTTTATGATAAGTTTTTGCAAAAAATATATTTAACACGTTTTAACATATCATTCATGCATTTAAAAAAAAAGAAACTTGTATTTGTTTAAATACCATGCGATAACTTTGTTGGAATACATATATTTTCCGGTTGTATTCTATATTGTACAGTTGAAAAAAGCGTTCACACGCATTTTACTCTAACAGAAGAATACCTTTCAAAAAATCCTAGTGCTCCTGAGGCATTTCCAGCATAGGCTACTCTTCCCTCTGCCAGCAACACCAACTTATCAAACAATGCCATTAATTCTGAAGACGGCTGGTGTATAGTACATATCACTGTCTTGCCCTGGACTGCACTTGCCCGAAGTAAGGTCATAAGCTTCTGTGCTGAAGACGAGTCCAAGCCAGTCGTGGGTTCATCGCAGAATAGTAATCCAGGATCTGTCAAGAGCTGGTAAAGACATACAACAATTATTCAAAAATAATTAAAAAATTGTATTATTTATGTTATAACCGTGCTAAAATTCTGTTTACACTTTAAAGATTTGAGATTGTTCTGTATGTATGTTGAAGCAGTGTAATGTTTTTATTTTAAATATTATTAGACTATGGTAAAAAATCGGTGTTGAAAATCCTTAATTAGTAATAAAAATAAATCGGTAATTTAAATGACCCCATATTAAAAATTATTTTCTCTATACCCATCGAAGTAGGCCTGAAAAAAATTGAGGAACTCTGATAATGGGCCAAGTAACTGCGTAAAAACCCATGACGGGTTTTATCTGATATAAGATAAAATTTCTGGCGATTTTATGGGGCTGTTAAGAAGGGAAACAAGTTCGCTTCTGTAAACGATGTACTTGAATTTTTTTTGTACATAAACATTTTTGTTTTCGATATAACAGATTATGTAAACCGGATAAATTGTTGAAAAAAAAACTTTATTCATAACAGAAATATGGTTGTGACAAAATTTATTTAACGCTAGTTCCCGAGATGGGACATGTGCACCGAATGGCGAACGACAGAACTCCAAGGTCCTTAAAGAACTCACAACCCGGTGGCAAGAGAAAACTCGGTAGACCGAGGCTGCGTTGGTGGGATGAAGTTGTCAAGGACCTCGAAACAATAGGGGTTCGCAATTGGACGCGGGAAGCACTAGATAGATTGCGATGTCGAAGTGTAATTGAGGAAGCTAAGGCCCACAAGGGGCTGTATCACCATTGATGATGAGTTCCCGAGATGGAGCCCCGGTGTTGTGGGTAACTAGACCACAATTATTCCGTGGTACAGTGTGCATGTTTAAAACAACTAAAACTAATTGATTGTTTTAAAAAGTACATTCCCGATTTTACGTACTCGTATTCCCTTTAAAAGAAAAATATCTGCGAAGCTTCCTTGATAAAACAAACGGCATATATAACCTGGTTGGTAGTCCTGAGTTAAATAACGATAAAAGTACGTTTTCATGCTCTGGAATACATAACGTCACAATGATGAAACAAAACCAAAAATTGGCGTGCTCCATGTCACAAGTCTTGTCATAAACAGAAAATAAATTCCTTCTCACCTCAGTAGCAAACGCCAGTCTCTTCCTTTCACCTCCAGACAACGTTTTTCTTCCATCGAGGCCTCCAATACGTGTATGCCGTGATCCATACAGAGATAACTGGCGCAACAATTGATTCACTCTTCTCTTTCTTGCCAATGATGATGTTCGCCTATCCATTCGTAGACGAGCCTAATAAAATAAATAAATCATTAGACGATAGTTTTCTGCATTTGAGTTTTACAAATTAAAACTGTTTTCCATAACGGAAAAAATACACTTTTATATAATAGATTTAATAAGAGATGAGCAGTGTTGGCCTTGTGACTTCAGCGTGCGATTCTCATCCCCTGAGGTCGTAGGTTCGATGCGATTTGCGCCAATGGAATTTCAATCTACGCATTTTACATTCGCCCGAAAGGTTAAGGAAAACATCGTAAGGAAACCGGCTTGCCGTAGATCCAAAAAGTCGACGGCGTGTGTCTAGGACATGCGGCTGATTACCTACTTGCCTATTAGATTGACAAATGATCATGAAACAGATCCAGAAATCTGAGACACAGACGTAAAAAGGTTGTAGCGTCAATGATTTTTGTAATTATAATTGAATAACTCCTAGGATTTCGTGACAGGTGTTTGTAAGTGACCTAGTAACAGCTTCGGTGAAGACAATTAATTACCCTAATAAGCTAATAAGCTTATCGGAGATTAGGCACAGTGTCGGCTCTAAATCGGGTCATTAACTTTTTATTTACCTACAATTGACTACCAAAAAGGGTATACAAATATCAAAGTGATTGTCTAAATGAAATAGTGTAATTAAATTTAACTATTCTTTATGAACAAGGGAGTAATCTTATTAGGTAAAGGTTACAGAGATTACAGATTTATTCTATGATATATTAAACTGTTAAATGTGATTCTAATTTTGAAATCGTAATGTAAAACTCACTCAATAACTAGTTTTGTTCTTTAAGATAAGACATAGTTTCAAAACAAGAATGTGGTCATGTCACTTCTTAATATGTAGACAAATGTAAAAAAAAATAACTGGAATAAACCCAAGATATTTCTACTTAATAATTAAAAGCAAAAAATATTGTCTTATTGCGCAGTAGACAGTTACCACCTACACAATACAAGAGATCTTTTTACAAATTCTTGTGATTCAATTTAAAACAGTCTAATTATTTATCTTTACAACACATCGTAAGCAAAATTTCTCAGAAAAAAGCCGAAAGAATTTAGGTAAAAGTGCATTCATTAGTTTTTAGGAATAAGAGTGTGTTTGTGTTATTTGTTAAATTACTTATATTTATCATTCATTGGTGTTGTTTCTTTGTACGCTATCTGCCTTGCGATTCTGTATCTCACTTTTCGAACTCACACAGCGGTTTACCATAATGCCAAATCGTAAAATGACTGCTTCACGACTGATTTGAGCGCGACCGCCGCTGCGAAAACCGCTGTGAGAATTTGAAAAGTGAGTTACAGAATCGCAAGGCTGGTTTTCTTTTTTGTGTTGTGTAACTGTTAAAAGATTTGTAATTGCTGTATTTTTATTAAATCCTCTGTTTCTTGCCTGCTGTTGCACTTTTTTACTATTGTAATATACAATTAATTAACAAGCGTTATGTATTATAGTATTAGTATATTTTGTCATGTAAGTGAATGTTGTAATGTTCTTAAGAGATCTGAAATTTGAATCTGTTCTAAGAAGAGAAATAAATATGTATTTCTAAATATGCAAAATTGCAAATATTATTCCTCTTTTTTTATTTAATAGGTGGCAAACGGGCAGGAGGCTCACCTGATGTTAAGTGATACCACCGCCCAAGACACTCATTGCCAGAAGGCTCGCAAGTGTAAGTTTTAAGAATTGGTACGCTCTTTTCTTAAAGGACGAATCTCTAAGTCGAATAGGTTCGAAATTAATTCAGTGGGTAGCCGGTTCCACATAGTGGTGGTGGGCGGCAAAAACTGCCATAAGAAACGCTCAGTTATGGAACAACGGATTTCGAGGTGATACGGATGGTATTTTGTATTCTACCTTGACGTCCGATGATGAAACATAAACATGGGCATTGGGCATATCTTTTAGGCCCGCAACGACTTCTCTTCATTCTCTTTACGAAATTTTAATTTTAAAAATAGAATTTATATTAGGTAATTCGGCCTTCTCACTCTCTCTTAATCGGTCTCAATCGCTCTCTCCCTCTTCTTCGACAAAAATGCTGCACATCTTCGTGACGCTAATATTATTATTATTGCGTTTCATCCGTATAAATTTTATCCTCATGCGCCTAAAGAAGTTTCACTTGAAAAATATAAAATATATAATGTGAGTAAACGCTACTAATTATTATTATATAAAGAGTAGGTCTCTTAGGCTTAGTTTATATTAGGACTTACCATTATTGTGAGATGTTCCATAACAGTGAGATTTTCGACAAAGAGTTCATCCTGATGCATGTATCCAGACTCCAGGTGCATAAAGTCGCCCACTGTTCGTCCATTCATCGCAATAGCACCATCCACGACCGTGCCGACTATAAAATTATTTTTAATATACTTTTAATAATTCTATACAAATAGTAATCATAATAATATTTCTTTTTCTATATGAATTTGTTTAAAACTTGTACTCAACTGTTTTAATTTATTTTACCGTTTAATTGTTTTATAATTAAGTTTCTATTGTAAATAAAATTTATCCTATTTTTTTATAAATATAGAAACAAATTATATTCCATAATATATAGATTTTGTAATACTATTCAATGTTAAGAAAATAAATGCGACGCTGTATTGCAAGTATTTTTATAAAAAGGAGGACAATGGCCTGATCGTTTTCAAGCGATCTCTATCAGGCAACCACTGTGAGAAAAAAATATTAGATAAGCTAAGCAAGAAGAGCAAAAATACATTAGACATATAGTTATTTAGACAAAAGTAATTAAACAAACAAAGCAATTAAAACTTATGTAAACTGTGATCATAACAATATTTAAAAAAAAAGGAAACATTCAAAATATATCATGGCTTTGAAACAGATTTTAGTTTATTTCTTAAAAAAATGCTAGATTACAAAATCTATTGAATTATTTTATACATCAATAATCAATATTAGTCATGATAGAGGAGAAACACAAAAATTTGTACCTCAAATTGTTAAATTCCAAGAGTTTAGTTAGATAAAAATTATTTCTTAATTATAATTCTGCTGACTTTCTTGTTTGATACTGTTTATAGATTAAAAAAAGGTGTATATAATCGCAATCCCGTAGTTGTTTCTGTCTTACGAGTCATATCACAAAACAAAAATTAAATCGAAATAAATTTTTAAGACCAATTTTACCATATTATTAATAATGGTTTTTTCCCTATTTCTTAGAAATAAATAAATAGGAATACTTACTAGGACTTCTATGCGCTAGAGCCGACATAAGTGTAGTCTTCCCCGCGCCACTATAACATATATAGTTTTGAATACATACACATACATTACACACAATACAAAAGAAAACGAGGAAGACAAATAAAAATATGGTAAGATATATATGAAAGTAAAGCAGCTGGTCCTATGTGGCTACGTAAAGCTAGACACCGAGAAGAGTGCAAGCTCTTAGAGGAGGCCTATGTCCAAGGACAAGCTGTTAAATAGAAATTAAGCGGCTTGCCGATTAGTTATAAGTATATATGTTATAAGTGTTTATAGTACTTCACATTATTTATGTATGAGTAATTTCACAGCAATAAAGGCTATTATTATTATATAAGAATTGATTTCCAATTGTCATTAGCCTCCACTGGCCTTATATTTATTATATTCATTGTTTGTTATTGATTTTGACAATATTAACTTAAAGCTGGCAGTAATAAGAGAAACAAACATGTACATTTTTATAATTATGAAATATAATGATTTAAAATTAAAATATACATAAAAAATCTTCTATAACGTGAGCTATAAATCATTTTAAAATCTTATAATACGATATCTAAATTCTATTTTTTTTTTCGGAAAATAATAGTTTCGCATTATTAATAAACCGTTTATTTGCAAAGAAAGTTTAAAGAAATAAAGTATAACATTTAGATTGATTAATTATAAAAATCCGCACAGCCATATAAAAATAGGCATGCAAATGTCATATTTATTTTCATTAAGGCATCAATCTCATATAATGAGAACATCAACATAATGTGATAATAAAAAGTCAAACTTATGGTCTAAATACTTGCCCAAGCTATAAAGGGCTTTAAAAATGTAATCACCTTAATCACCAATTTTTAGCATTAATATGCATATTTGTTTTATTTTTATTGAAAAGAATAATATTCGCCTTAATCAAAGAAAATACCTACTAAAAATATGTGTAGTCTAATGTAAAATAAATTAGATTGCAACAAGAAAATGTCAAAAATGCTAAATTCTTAAAAACGTGTTGATATAATTAATTATCCATTAACATCCGTTACAACAATGTGTAATTGATTACATTTATTAATTAATTAAATATGTCGAATTGACAAGCAATTTAATTTTTGAAGTTCGTGTTTCTAATGGTTTAATATTAATGTTCTGCAAGCTGATTCCGCTGCGGTGACTTATCTCTAGACTTTCCATTTCTGCAGAACATATAGTGTCGTCTCTATGCTATAACATTAATTATATGAGACGGCTATCTATTATGACCGCAGTATCAACGCAGCAAGTGCAGGGCTGCCAACCTAAAGTGACCATCTGAGTGCTGCCACTAAAATCATTCGACAATAATAAGGACTCGAATTCGATTCGAGTCCTTATTATTGTCTGTAGTCAAACAACGTCTAGAATGTACTGACAAGAGTCTAGACCAGTGTTATCTAAGTTCTTATGACCCCCCCGACCACATCACATGCATATATTTTAATATTAAATAATAGGTTTCAGGAAGTTTAAGTAAACACAGTAAATAAATTTTAAAAACAATAATGGAATTCCAAATAATATAATAAATTTTCAAATAACTCCACAATAAATTTGCCCCCCTGTGGGGTGAGGCCCCACGCTGCTTTAGACTAATTAGACATATATATGAGATAATAATCAAATCTTACCTGGGTCCCATTAGTGCCACCAACGAGCCAGGTTTTGCGATTCCATTTACTGCAAACAATATCTATATTATTAAGGATTCTAAAAATAATCAGTGGCGCTACAACCTTTTTAGGTCTGGGCCTCAGATTTCTGAATCTCTTCATGATCATTTGTTAATCTTATAGGCAAGGTGATCAGCCTCCTGTGCCTGACGTACGCCGTCGACTTTTTGGGTCTAAGGTTTCCTCACGATGTTTTCCTTCACCGTTCGAGCGAATGTTAAATGCGCACATAGAAAGAAAGTCCATTGGTGCACAGCCGGGGATCGAACCTACGACCTCAGGGATGAGAGTCACACGCTTAAGCTACCAGGCCAACACTGCTCTGTGATTAAGGATTTTAGATTAATAAATTTTAAGAAGTGTTTGTTTTTTGAATGGCCACGAACTTGACGAGGAAGGTACTATAACATTACGCTAGACATGAACGCGAAACCACAGCTAATTAAATAAAAAAAAATACATTAATAACTATCGGATACGACAGACGTTGTCCTGTACACACGTCTTACATACAAAAAAAATCTAATAATGTAATTCATTCTCGACTCCACCTGAACACACAAAAAATTACATTAAAATCTGTCCTACCGTTTAACAGTTTAATTACGAACACATGCACAGAAGTTTTCTATTTAGATTTATATAACATAGATACCGACTGCAGCGCCATCTGCCGCGCTGATTTATGAATCATACGCATACAAAAAAAAACATTTAAATCGGTCCAGCCGTTTAAGAGGAGTTCAGTGACATACACACGTATTGAATTAAAACACTCGAATTATATACAAAGATAATACAGCTTTTAACATTGTTTATATCTAACGTTAGGATGTTTTGTGATGAAATTAAAAAGATAAAAGATACGAATCTTTTTGTATATTTCTGGAAATTTAGCTTAGCAGTTAACAGTCGGTTTACCAGAAATAGTAAGTTTTGCGTGGAAAGTATCTCCTTCTTTAAGCATGCTTCATAATTTTGACGCAAATGAAATTTTATTATCGCTGATCACATTTCCCAAAAATATCAAAGAAACAAACGCATAACAAAAAAAAACAACAGGATTATTTTCTTATTATTTTCAAACTTGCTTAGCAACAAGTTGCAACGGATATTGTCTCATTTAAAATAAATTGTGTTAGCTTGCATTAGTGAAACTTTTTTATTTAAATTCATTAACACAATAAATTGAATAGAATTAGAAAACTATACAGGGTCTTAAAATATCTCTTATTATTTTTTTATTCTGAACATATTATGTATTAAGTTGTCCTGTTAAATACCAAAACTCCTTCCTACTTCAAAAACTTTTGGGAGCCCATAGCTATAGCCTACGCTCTTTCTTGGCGAATCCTTCAAGGTGTCTGCACTTAGCCTATTCACTTCCCGTCCCGATCCGCTTAGCTCCTTCTCTATCTTCCTTTAATTCTCTACTGTACAAGGATTACCTCTCCAGATCGTATCTCTAACTTTCGTGCAAACAGATTTGAAATTATATATTTTCTTGTCCATGTGTCCTTTTTTTATTATTGTCCCTCTTACTGATTATATATTTTTTAATTGCTTTATTTTGTTCCATTAGTTTTTTCTAACTATATTATGTCTTTACACTTCTTGCTCTTAACTAATCTAATTTAAAAAAAAACATCACAGCTGTTGCCTGGAAGAGATCGCAAGAGGCCGCCAGTTGCAATCCTTTTTATTGAATTATGTTAATTGTACTATATTTCTGTATACATGTAACGAAGTGTTTATTAATAAATAAGGTTCAATAGGCATGGATCTAAACGAAACAATTTGAACCATTTCTTGCGACCAAACCAATCTTTGTATCGTTCTTCCATCCATTGACACCGTATAACTGAATGGTAATTAGATTTACGCTGGCAAGGGCAATCCATCATTATTAATATTATCGATTATACCAAATAGAGCATCTATCTCCACCTCTAACTAGTGGTTAAGAATGTAAAACAAAAGAAGCACGGCGCATTTAATTTAATATATTATTTAAATTAAAAAAAAAATTATTAAATTTGACGAAACGCGCCATTCTTTGGACACACTTGTTTAGTCAGATAAGCCATTCTTTAATGGAAGATAAGTTGAATGAATATGCAATTATGTCATGTTCAGGTCACACTAACATTTTTATTGCTATACATTTCCGGTTCTATTTTTTAGGTAAAGCTTTTAAACAATTATTTTTAGAATTAAATAACAAATAATATACAGAGGATCCGTTAATGCGTGCATTTTATATTTAATACATAAATTATTTTAATTATTTTATAATTTTTTTATATCTAGCATGTAGCAAAGGAAACTCAGTTTGATCGCGCAGCCCAATATGTATGCCTTGACTTCGTTAAGCTATCGCGGAATATGGTTAAAATGAGTATTAGGAATATCTATAGCGCAAAATCACCTGCATCATGAGCATACCCCGCATACAAACCTTCACGTACATACCCTCACTTTTACACCATCACACACACAGACACATCTAAATTAGGTATTACTTAGTTAAATGTATTATTGTGTTTTCCCTTCTCTAAATGTTTCAACCTTTTTGTAAATACTATCTATTTATTCCATCTTTAGCTATATATTTAGTGTAATTAGTATATAGTTGTTTTTATGTATATTTTTGTTAACTGTAGGATTACGAAAAAATAAACAACGCCATTCTAAAAGCTCACGCTTAGTGCTACGGGCATCCTTTTACAGTTTATAAGCAATCTCTTCCCGGCAACCCGAACTAATAGCTACCCCACCTACCACAGATGAGCCCAAAAAAGAGAGGAAGAAACAAAAGTAAATTATAAACATAATATAACTATAGTTACTTTAATTGCTTTTAAAAAATATCACTTTATAAGTACTTACCACTATTGACTAATCTCTTAAGCTTGCCGTCCTTATGTTTAATGTGGACGGTGACGTCCCTCCATACAAGAGTGCAGGGTCGCGGCGCTGGAGAGGTTCCTAATAGCTCCTCAACCTCTGCAAACTCCATGGGATCCGTGTACTTCGACTGCATGATTCCTCTGTCCACAAACACTATGTCTGCTGGCTGGAGTTCCTGAGACGATTATTATAACAACAATTATATGAAATTGGTTACACACATTACACATAGAAGTTTTATTCGCGGATGATTGAATTATTTTCATAACTCCTTTTCAGCAATACTAGAGATTGCAGTATATATATTTTAAAGGAATTAATTGAAAATATCATTTATATATTGGTAATACAATAACTAAAACACATACTTTAGTAAAAAGTATTACTAGAAAATTAGATTCTTCTGAATAAACTTTTACTGCTAGTTCTCAAATCAAGGAGTCAAATAATAAACAATAATCTTTCGCTCCTTTTTATTGGCAAGTTTTTTTTTTTACAATTTTTTATTAAATTTCGTACACGTACGTATATTGTAATTATTTTGGCAGTAGATAGAATATTGTAAGAAAGGTGTTAAAGGCTTCTCATAGTATATCTAACAAGGTTGGCTACTTTAATTTTGGATGCCGCGATTCAGAACAAAACCGCTGCTTAGACCAATCTGTTGCCGATTATTATTTAATTACTTAGATTCTTTTTCTAAGTCTGCGGTCAAATATCTTCATCTGCCACTTTGTATTGATTGATTTTTTTTGGTGTTACGTAAGACGAAATAAGTCAAGTTTTCTTTTCTTAACCATCATAGGCACTTCTTTGTTCTTCTGCATTATGTCCAGAGGTTGTATTTCGTATACGGTTTGTCCTAGATATTTGAAGCATATAAACCCAGATCTCGAAGGTGTCCAGGTTTCAGGCATAGTGTCAGCGTCCAAGATTCTACGCCGATGAGCAGTTATTATGACTCTTAGGCCAATCAGTAAAATACAATATAATTCATCTATGTTTGAGCATTTTCAATCATCACGTTAAGTATGATTATTGCAAAGTTTACAGAAATGTTAGGTTAAAGAAGTACACTCTTTACATTTGTAAATACGTACTTTCTCAGTGTTGCAACCATTGTTAGGTTAAGGGTTAATATTAAGCTACTTGTAAGTATGTTGAGATTATAATACTCAATGTCTGCGGTTAGACATACGATATCCTGAATGAACTACTTGTGGTTCGTACGGCCTTAAATTATTATTATTATACATATTTTGCTGGGGGCAACACCCTCTGTAATTAGTAAATAGAGCACAAATGAAAAGAGAATAATTATATAGGTTGTAGTGAGGCTTTGTGATACCTCATTGTTGTGGTTGACAGTTTTATTATTACTAACTATTTTATCATAGAAATATCATAGAAACGAATGGTAAACACGAACCATTCGTTTCTATGATGTGATTTTCTATTTGCACATCTATTGATATAGAAAATTCTTAAGTATTGTTTTTGAAGTGAAACTTCTGTTGGCGCATGGAGGTAAAATTTTTACGAATGTAATGCAATAATAATAATATTAGCGTTACGAAGATGTGCAGCGTTTTTGTCGAAGAAAAGGGAGAGCGCGATTGAGACCGATTGAGAGAGTGAGAAGGGCGAATAACCTAATCGAAATTCTATTTTTAAAATTAAAATTTCGTAAAGAGAATTTATGAAATATTAGTATTTTATATTATATGCAAAATTTATTGAAATCTCAAATGACGAATTGTAAATTAAAATGCCACGTATTTTTATTATCGAAGAAATGAATTTAAAATATTAAATTTATAATTTGAGGAGGCCTATGTCCAACGGTGGACAAACCGAAACCTGACTGACAAGCAAATAATCATTCCTAAATGTTAAAGTGTATTTTACCTAATGTTAAAAGTAATTTTTTTCAATTCAAAATCAATGAAACTTTTAATCTATTTTAACTAAGTTTTGGAAATAAAGGCTATTATTATTATTATATATATTAATTAGAATTCATAAAAATTTACAAATTGTTATGTTAATTCTAAATTAACGATTCTCACTGGTTAACGGCTGCGCTAAGAGAAGCGATAGACCTAAGAAAGTGGAGAGATATAACTAGCAAGGCAGCACCTTACAGTGACACGACCTTCAGTAATAAAGAGTACGACTAAGAAGAATTAAAACATTACAATGCATGCATTATTAATAAATAATCACAAGTATAAAATTTCCACGACAACTCAACCGTGTAACGGTGACGCTTTCTAAATGGTCTTCGTTTATTTCTCATTAACACATTCGCGTAATATGATAGATTGTATTAATTGTATTTTTTGTTGTTAATATTTTCACAGGTCACCAAAAGGATCGCCGCACTATGGACAATGGAATTGAATTGAAATCAAAATTCGAGAAGCTTAAATATATTAGATAAGACTGATTAATAAAAAAACGTCGAAACGAAAAGAAAATTATATTACATGGTTTTGATAAGTATCGCAATATAACGAGGAAATGCTGCGAGCATTAAAGGTACACTGCCACAGGGACCAAACTTTTTAAATTACATTTAATTTTCTATGTATCAATTTTTTATAATTATTATTATAACTATGTAGGTTAAGAAAATTGTAAATACTGTACATTTGTGTGTTGGATATAAATAATTAAGAATGTTATATTTGAAAGTAATGTATAAATTACTAGCTGATCCGACAGACGTTGTCCTGTACACGCGTCTTACATACAAAGAAAAAATGTAATAAAGTGAATCATTCTCGACTCCACTCGAACTCACGAAAAATTTCATCAAAATCGTCCAGCCGGTTAGGATTTTCATAACGAACACATGCACAGAAGATTTATATATATATATCAGCTGTTTATTTTCTGTATAGATAAATAACCTATATACCTAATGCAGCGCCATCAGCCGGGCTGATTTGTGAATCTAAACGATCCAGGGCGCCACCCAAACGCATCCAAAAAAAACATTCAAATCGGTCCAGCAGTTTAACAGGAGTTTAGTGACATACACACGTACAGTAGAATTATATATATATATATATATATAATTAAGCCAATCAGATTGATAGATAGATGATGATTGTTAGAAATATTCATGATTTTATGTTCATTAACACAATACAGCGAGGAAATGCTGCCAGCGTTAAAGGTACACTGCGACAAGGACCAAACTTTTTAAATTTGTTTTAATTTTCTATATATTAATTTTTAATTATTATTATTACTTATTAATTGTACATATTCCATATTTGTGTTATGTTCTATATATCCTATATTTTTTGAAGTAATTACTATAGGAATATCATCAAAATTAGCATCGCATCTATAGTTTAATTCCTGGGCCTTGTTATAAGTGTAATTGATATCACAGTATACCCTCGTATATACTGTCATACCCATGTTCTGCTCTAACAGATAGTGTGATTTGAAGCGTGAATAATTTATAGCTGAGCGGCTATCAATATTAAAATTAAATAAATTGATACATTATGTTATCACAATGAATGTAAAGTTTTCCGCCATGGACACTCTCAATGCCATATATTCGTTATATCAGAGTGTTTCCCACCGTTGAGTATATATACAATATCTGATAATCAGCCACTGGTTTCATCGGGCTGGCCAGTCAGACAATGCTTCCTTTAGGTTGGAGATCCAAAAATGCGAGATTCTAGCTGTTCTCAGGTGAGCAGGGTAACTATTCAAATCAGATACTTATCAAATAAGTGATCCAGGATGAAGCTATCGGTCTATCAAAGCGTCGAAAACAGGAAATATGTAATCTAACGACAAAACTTAATTTCGAAGTTGTTTGTTTGTCTGGTTGGAACAATGTACAAAATGTCACCATCTATATTAGTTAATTTCAGAGCATTAAAAATATTTTTTTGTTCGGTTAAGAAAAACTTTTTTTACTTGATTTCAAACAAGTCTAAATAAAAAAACTTGAATTTCATAAAATTCGTAGTGATAATAAACAAAATGTTGTTTTACACAATTCAATTGATGTTATAAATATCAAGATTGACGTCATAACTGTATTATGTAGAAATTGGTGATAAATTATTAAAAAATTAAGTACCTACTACGAAAAAAATGAAAGACTATACTGTAACATATAAAAACACCCTGTAGTTAATTTATTATAATTTTTTAAATTTAGAATTACAAAATTGAAATCTGTCTATATTTATATATGAAATCAGATACAAAAATTTTATTGAATGTAAAAGTTAAAATAGATTTTCTAATACTTTATTTTTTCCCAACATATATAAAATTAGACTACAAATTAAAATTTTATTATACTTTGTCATACTTAAATAGCAGAAATTTTTTAATGAGTTTGAAGCTTATATGAGAGCTGAGTGAATATTAATTGTATTAGTGTAAATATAATGTATAAATATAGCGAGGAATTGCTGCCAGCGTTAGAGGTACACTGCCACAGGGACCAAACTTTTTTAAATTTGTTTGAATTTTCTATTTATCAATTTACATTATTATTATTACTATCTAGGTAAAAAAATAGTAGCTGTTACTAAATTATATATTTAGAAATTTATTTCCTTTATATCCTAATTATACCAAAATTGAGTAATTCTATTTTATTATTTTAAATTACAGCTTTTGAAAACGTCGTCAAAGACGTACGTTATTTTATTAACAAAATTTTAATTATAGAATCGTTGAAATTAATTAAATACAAATAAAGTGGTTTGCGATGATTCATAATTCCTTGAAAATAATACATAAGGAGTTTAAATCAAATTAGTATACAATAAATTAGTATGTATCATAATAAAATGCATTAAAATAAACTCAATTTTTTAAAGATTATTTGGTTAGTCAAAAATTATTCATCTTATTGTAATTTTTTAAGAAATGGTCATAAGAATTTTAATTACTGAATTTAATAATTAAATTCAATATTTATTTATTATACATAATTTCTCAATTTTCGAGGAGTAAAGTCTATAGGTATAGGTTTTTAATCAAGCCTTTCCATCTTAAAGCACTCGTAAACATTCCTACAACCATTTAACAAAAAAAAATATTGCGCCGTTTTAATCTTGCATAACATTACGAAATACGTGAAGGTACGAACGTATACTATTCAGACAACCGCTCGTTTTCTAATAGTCCACTCGCAACTATATACATTTAAAAAAAAGCATAAAGATTATTAAAAAACCTACTAAACTTTAACAATTACTTACATGAGTTTCGGCATTTCCATTAGAATTTTCCGAAAGTCCAGACAGAGTACGTTCGCTTTTACTCATTTTGTATCACACGTGTCTAATTTGAAAATGGAATGCGCGATAATCGGATCATTTTATTACGGGCAAGTATGGGCAGCCTGCGCGCTCGCCGGTGTTACAGTGTTTGTGCCGGATCGCCGTGAGGTGTTCGAATACACAGTAGGGTTGTCTAACCGTGAACCTTAGTAAAAGTTAATGGTCACGTGTAATTTCTATACATTCAGGTTTGGCTATCTCGTTTTGCTATCTGACAGATACATATTTTATTATATATGTTATAGTTTTATCGTTTTGTTTTTCACAAAAGACATTTAAACGACAAAATTGTACTGACAAATTACATAGTATGCGCGACTCTCACCTATGAGGTCGTAAGTTCAAATCCCAGCAGTGCATCCAAGGAATTTCTGTCTATGACGCATTTAATACTCGGTCGTACGGTGAAGGAGAACATGGTGAGGAAAAAAACTATGCCTTAGACCCAAAAAGTCGACGATATGTCTCACAGTGGGCTGATTCCTAGTTGTCTGTTAAGTAAAAACCAGGCCGTTTCAGAAAAAGTAGTTAAGTGGTACAGTTTTATTAGAGTGCTTTTTCGCGTAATTTGTGTATTTTTAATGTAATTAAATTCCGCGCTGAGTATTAAAAAATAAAACCTTGAAGAGAGTTACTGCGTATTCTATCCTATCCCTAGCTCGTAATATATTTATAATACATTATAAGATTATGTTAATTTCATAACAATAAGCATTATTACCGGTTAATTTCAGGTTGACAGCCCTAAAATGTATTGAAGAGTGGGACGGAAACTCTAGACAAAGATGGTATAGTACCATCAATGAATTGATAACATTGTGAACACGTTGACAAATGTTCCTTTGAGTTAATATATGTAATATATGTATATGCTTCTCAGATATACTGGATTTTGCGGGTTTGCCTATGGTCATATACACGATTATGGTCATAGAACACGTATTAATTGAGTTGTACTTACATACACTTTTAATAAGAAGCTAAGTGGTTAGCACACGTGGTAATAAGAGGTAATATTCAGTTATTATTTTGAATATGTAGGCACAGATCTGAAATATATAGTGAGCAGAACTGTGTCGGCTATTTGAGAGTTCCGCGGATATCAAATTAAATAAATGGCTTCTTCTTCTTATAGTGCCATCTCCTTACGAAAGTTGGCGATCATCATGGCTAGTTTGATTTTGGATGCCGCGCTTCTAAACAATGACTTGGTTGACCAAACATTGTCTTAGTTTTTCCCAGGACGTAGTGGGTCTCCTTTGCCTTTGCCTTGTATGATTAGTTGAAGGAGCTCATATTTTTTGGAGTTACGTAAAACGTGTCCGAAATACTCAAGTTTCCTTTTCTTAACCGTCATAAGCACTTCTTTGTTCTTCTGCATTCTGTCCAGCACGGTTGTATTTCGTATGCGGCCTGTCCAAGATATTTTAAGCATAGCGTAAAAAACCCAAAAACCCCCCCCCCCTTTTTTGGGGGTGGGGCCCGGGCGCGGGGGGGGGGCGGGGCAAAAAAAAGGGGGAAAAAAAAAAAAAAAAAGGGGTTTTTTTTTTTTTTGTTTTTTTAAATTAAAAAAGGTCTGCGCGGGCGAAATTTACGCTTTTAAAAAACTATTTTGTATGTAACACTTGAACACTTTCTACGTTGGGTTCGTTCTAAAATCCCAAGCACATGGCACGTGGTTGCGTGTATATTGTGCAAAGGTATTGTGTTGGCCGCGTTTGGTAATTGGATTCACCGATCAATAGTTTTAAGGATATGTAACATAGTCTAATAAAATAAATGTATGGATCAATCTTTATGTATTTAAATTGAAAATATCAACCAAATGATAAAAGTAATTCTTGTCCGAACTTAGGAAGTTATGACTTACAATGTGAAAAGCTTGAGTACGCGACACGAATTCTCGTTGACGCACCATCGCTTCGTTGGATTGTGATTGGTGGATCTCTAATACGTCTCGGAACGCGACTTGATAGGCCGATATAATAACAGTATAATTTGTAATGTATGTCGGTTTGTTCAACTCCAAACAAAGCTTAACAATAAAAAGTATTGTAACCAAATCATATATATATTTCAAGTTCTATATGGGTGTTATAAGTTCATGGTCTCTGTTGCATCGTAGCTTCTAAAGAAATTCGATAGCCCAGTTATGATACGGTATTTTTTTTTTAAATGTAATTTTGGTAGCCAACATCTTTCACGCATAATTAACTTTTACGTCTAGGCAGAATAAGAAATTCCACCACTATCTGGAACCAGTTGCCCACTGAAGTATTTCCGATCCAACTCGACTTAGGGTCCTTCAAGAAAAGAGCGTACCAATTCTTAATGGGCCGGCAACTCGCGAGCCCCCTGTCATTGACAGTGTCAATGGGTGGTGGTATCACTTAACATCAGATGAGCCTCCTTCCTGTTTGCCTGTTCTATAAAAAATATATGTTTGACCTAACATTTGTAACATGTTTGATCCCAGCTAGTGTCTGAGCTACGATAAACGCTGGCTGGGGTTAAATAACATCTTTATTTTATATTTCTTAATTGTGTTTTAATATAAACTATACTATATAGACTTCCCAATGGTAGCTAAGAAAAATGTATTCAACTTATGTATCTTACCGTGTGTCACATACGGCTGCCAGACTTGGGCATTATCTCAGAAACATATAGTTGAGGACATGCCAAATAATGGAAGCATGGCGGGTGTAACACTGAGACTTCGACTTCGACCAAAGTAGAGGACATTATAAAGAAAATAAGGCAATTGATATGGCGCTGGACCGGGCACATGAGAGATAGCAGGTTGAAATGGACAAAAATAATTACAGAATGGCAACCACGTGATGGAAAAAGGTAAAGAGGTAGGCAGTGCAAGAAATGGGCAGACGATATAAAGAGAATAGGAGGCACAACTTAGACAAGAAGAGCTAACATCAGAAAAGAATGGAAGCAGCTGGAAGAGGCCTATGTGTCACAAGACACGTGATTACCGAAAACGGGTCATCTGATGATATTAGCTTAAGTTAGTTTATGTAACTTAAATAAGTTTTAATATATTATACATGGGTGTCAGCAGTAAGGGCTTAATGATAATAGTAATAAACTATATATAACTTCTTCGTTGTTAAGAAGACATGGAAACATAAAACACGTGTAGTTTTATCTAATCGCATCACAGCGGTGTCTATATTTACATTTAAACTGTCACTTTACTACATTGTAACCCAGGTGATATTAATTGTGAAATCTACATAGTTACTTTAATTAAACAAAACAAACTTTGCTTTCTATCAAAACATTAGGCGTATTTTTATATTTCACTCACTCATGCGCTCAGGCGTGTTGAGTTATCAAAAGTTGAAAAATCAAAAACAAAAATAAATAAAATAAAATAAAAGTTGTAATTAAATTAAAAATAAATATACTTTAAGGAATTTATAATTAAGTTGGATATGGAAGAGCTGGCAACCCTGACTGACACAGGTATTTTTTACTTAAAAGGGTTCCCAAATCTCATTGTAATGCATAGATATGTACATGAATAAACATATTTTATTTTTTATTATTCTTATTTAAATTGCATTTGTATTAGTGTCTTATACAAGGCATCAACCTAAGCGGTCTGTTTTTTTTAAATTATTGATTTTAAATTTAGTTTTTATTTAGTCCCCTACCAGCCTACCACCAATATACACGTTTATACACAAGAAAACAATACATATAAAACTCACAAATATGAATGCTTGATTGTCTTCGATGTATAGGGCTTACATGCTACAGAAAAACAAAACGAAAACAAAATATTGTCTATATTAAAACGAATTACTAACAATTACAAGCTGAAAAAAGTACATAAATATCATTGCAATTTTTCGTAACCCTAACAAAGTTTGCTGTATAGATCAAGGTCTTCGGATGAGAACATAGAACTGTTGGACCTGTACGCGATGCTCCAGCCGTGATGGTCATTCGTTCAAATCATCAGGTTCATAACCAAGTAACTGGGCGTCGGTCATATGTTTTTCGTCAAACTAAAAAGTCTATAAAAGTTAATTAATTCCTGCCTAGCAGACCCGAAATCGTGCTTTGTTTCATGTTCCTCACTGATGGGAGTGTTGATACACAAACTATGCAAAAAACTCAGATTTGTATCGCACAGCCCGGACATACAACGACCAATATTTAAGCCTGGACTTGTTTAAGCTATCGCGGAATATAGTTAAAATGAGTATAAGGAATATCCATAGCGCAAAATCACCTGCATCATGAGCTTACCCCACATACACACCACGTACTTACCCTCACTTTTACACCACCAAATTAGGTATCACTTAGTTAAATGTAATGAATAATTTTTATTGTTTTGTTCCCTTTTGTAAATGTTTGAACCTTTTTGTAGGTAAATATTCTGTATTCCGTCTCTGGCTATATTTTTAGTGTAATTATTTGTTATTATATATAATTTTTGTTAGCTATAGAATAACGAAATAAATAAATAAACAGTCTATGTGTTCTTAACGTTTTTGGCACTATTGGTATTTGGCAAGGAGTTCTCTTTAGGAGTCTTTTTCCCGTCGTAACAAGTATTTATTTATATTATTACGCTGGTTTCCCGATAGGAAACCACGGATCTTTGCTACAATCCCGGCCTACCTCTCCCGCTTCATCCACTTTTATGACATTCATGCTGGTCGGTTATGGGTACTTTAAACGTCCCTTCTCCAGTACCTCCTGGATTTGGTCCAGATACCTACGACTTAGCCTACCCAACCCGATCTCACCAAGATCTCACTCGCATCAAGAAGTTGGCATATGCCTTATTGTGTCTATCTATGCGAAAATGCATGCAAAGAAGTGTTTGTTCCTACTATAAGTATGAGCGAACTTTCCCACCAAAATCTAGTCAACTTGCAATAAGTTAATGCTCCCTGGTACATTCGCAATAACGACCTCCATCGGGACCTTAATGTAGAGGATACGTGTAA